ACTGAAATGTAATGTTAAGGATCAATTTTTGGATCAGATGTAAGTTTTCATTGATTGTTGCTGTTCTTCTGTTGTAGATAAGAATATTCTTAGATTCTTCTTCAATCTTGGAGTGAAGGTAACTCTTCAAACTTGCACGTTTCTGTGTTTGGTGGTAATTACAGTGTGGAAGATGAGTTGCTGCAGCTGTACACTTCAAACGTGTCTTGAGATTTGTAATACTTTTTGTGCTTTGCTTTCTATTAACTGGAATTATAGCAGTGTCCACCCTGCAGTTCTACAATGATAGATCTATCTGCTTCAAACATGGTTATATGCAGTCTGCAGAAATTGTGCTTGACAAATTTGCAGGCAAACCTATATGCGTTTGCATATGCATTATTCTAGGAGCATTAAGTAGTAGAAGACAAACAGTCCTCTGCCTTTGATAATGCCCGTGTGCCGGCAAAAGCACTGTAGTAAAAATACCTGGCTTATCTTTTCCTGTGGAGACTCTTCAAGGTAACTGCTGGTCTATGTCACCTGCTCAGGTTAAGGGCGATATTCAGCACAAGTTTCCAAGTGAATTTAGATTTGATAGCCATAGACTCGATACCTAACGCAAGTCTTTTTGCTCACTGGAAAATGCTGAAGTCGCTAGCAAGTGCCACTGCGATGTATTTACAGTGTTTAAGCAGAGTTTGCTTTCAAAACCTATGTGTATTTTGGAACTGTGCTTTGTATTATTTAGGATATAACCTGCCATTTTGGGCTTTCAGCACCATCTACTGGTCAAAGTACTGAGATTAATAGTTGTGTTCTTCAGTTGGTGACCAAATTGTGTGGCAGACCTGGCAACCACCATCCAGGTTCTCTGTGCGCTGCTTTGGTCCCAGAGGCTGTCATACTGATGCCTGCACTCTTGAGCTGCTCGTGCTGATTGATCTGACTAGTTCCCCTCAGAAGGGGTCTGGGTAGGCTTTCAGGATAGTTGGCTGCAGGGACTGTTTCTACGGATAGCACAACTAGACCCCCTACCTATTCCGGTGTTGTTTTCTTGTGCCAACAGCAGCTTTGTGTGGTGTTCTGTAAAACCTTCAATGTGTGTATCTGACACGCTGCCTTAGAAAAACATCCAGTGGTGTTGCTTGTGAGCTGTGTTGACAATACTGAAATCATGCGCATAGTGTAGCAAGCCCCTTCCCTTCCTCTGTGTTTGTGTTAGCGAGCTAACCAGCTCATCGTCTATGGTCGTACTGTAGAGTTGACAAATGCAGACTTTGCCTTGCTGTTTGTTTGTTTAAATGAACCTTGCAGCAGCTGTGTTACCAAGTTCTCTTACTGATCATAATCATGGTCCCTATTTCAACTGCATATGGAAGAAAAACATAAAAGAGAACACTATGCCGAAAGCCCAGAAATTCTTAACAGCTAAGAGCAGTCACTAGAAATAAAATGTTTCGTAATGATAAAGAACCTGGGTGGTGCTTACCTGTCTACATATTCAAAAGACCAAGTTCTTGTTTCTTCTTACCTTGCAGGCATACAGCTGTCCCATGTGGGCACCTCATTCTTACCTGTACCCTCTGCACCAGGCCTATTTAGCTGCTTGTCGAATGTACCCAAACGTGTCCCTCCCCGTGTACCCACACAATCCCTGGTTCCAGGAGGCTCCACCGACGCAGATTGAAAATGAGACTGCGCAACCTAACAGGCACTTTGCTATTCAGAGTGAGACCAGATCCAATGGTCAAATGTCACACGTTGACAGCAGGTCGCCATCACTGCCACTGATCGTACCTGCAGCTCAGGTGTCAGAAAGTCAAGGACAGCTCCGTGTTGAATCGGAGAATTCAGTGCAAGCCCTTCATGCAAACTATGATGAGCCCCTGAGGGGGAAAAATATGTTCCCACAACCATCCTTTGGACACGGTCACTTTCTAGGTGCTGTTCCAATAGCACCTCCTTTCTTTCCTCACTTCTGGTATGGGTACCCAGTTCAGGGCTTCATTGAAAATTCAGTAGCAAGACCTAATGTTGTCATGGCACCTGAGGACAAAGAGGCAACAACTAGCACATCTGCAAGCATGTACGTGGCTAAGGAATGCAGTACTCCAGTTCCTACAGTAAACTCTGTGGAACAGCTTCAGAAGACTAACAGCAGCAGTAGCTCAAACGCCATACCGTTCCCTGCGGCTGGTGCGAGCAGCGAACGCAGCGCCCCCAAAGAAACTTCAGCTAGAGCACCTCAGTTGGAGCAAACTTGTACTTCAGCCTCCCCTGCTAAGCAGGCAACAGCTGGACTGCAAAATCGCTCTACACAAGTACAGGGGGTGGAGAGGCAAATGGTGGTGCCCAACACCACGCTGCCGTTGGCAGAAACTCCAAAAAATGAACTGAAAAATACTGTTCACAGTCGTAAGGATAAGACTGATAAAGTTAGAGATTCCAGGAGCGCTGGTAACCTACAGACAGAAAACAGGGCTCAAAGAATGAGGGAAGAGAGCTCTGAAGATGAGAATGAAGTTTCCGATATGCTGAGAAGTGGTAGATCCAAGCAATTTTACAGCCAGACTTACGGAGGGGGCAGAAGGCCGAGAATGGAATGGGGCTATTCTACTAGGGGAGGATACCAGTTCCCAAGAAATGAGGAAGCTTGGAAAGCACCGCCCGGCAGGAGCAGAGATGAAGGCAGCCAGTACCAGCGAAACTTTAGAGGTAGGCCGTACAGGAATGACAGGAGAAGGGCAACACTGGGAGATACTCAGAGGGGACATCAAACATAGAATGAATGGATGAACGGATAACTGAAAATTCTGAAACGCAAAAGGCAATTTGAGGTAGAAGTCTAAAATCTTACTGTTTCCTTTTAGTAAAGTCCAAGGATACAATGAAATTTTGGTGAGTAAAAACGATGAGAATTTGGGCTCCTATCCTTTCGTTTAGCGGAGATTGCGGTTTGGTTGGCTTAGTGATTTTTTTCCTCAATGTCAGATTAGAAAAAAACAATGTAGGTTTAGTGTTTGAATTTTTTTCCACAAAGGCTTGAGTTTGTGATGTAAGATGGATATATATGTTTACTAGGGTGACAAATTACAGCATTTGATGTGATCTAGATTTTAAAATTGATGGTAACATTGCACCAAATATATTTTAACATACAATGCCTTAGTTCTGAACTGAGCTAAAGGAATTCTCAGCCTACTGCACTGTTGTCTTTGATATGCTTCCAACCCAAAGGCCTTTCATCTCAAAAATCTGTCAAACTTGAATGTTTCTCTTCTGTGTGTTACATGTATGGCAGCCAGCTAACAAACAGTGTCTTAGGTATGTTGTATATAGTTCTTTTAATATTCATAGGGTATATTTTTGAATTTTAAAAAGCATTTATTTGAGGAAATCAGAAACAAGCAGTCGAGTAGCTGTGTATGATTTGGTAAGAATGGCTGTTTCCACCAAGAATTATTAATGCTGGAGTGAGTAGAATGGTGCCTATGCCAACTAAACAATTACAAAGACAATACAATGTAGATGCTATGCATTTCCAAGATAATTCTGCATCTGTTACAGTAGCAGAAGTTTTTTTAATGCCACTTTAACACTAATGCACTGACAAATCCTAGATATTTTGTGAGAAGAGATGCATAAAAGTACGTTACTTTTCTTTTTTTAAGTTTGTATGGTGGAGCTACTGTTCAGTATTCTTTTTGTTATTGCACTGTTGATGCAAATTTATGTTTTGCATGTACAACTCACTGCTGGAACTACTTTTTAAAAGCAAGATGGATAGTCTGTGTTCTGCTCTTCTCCAGCCTTCAGAAGAAAACGGCTTCTGCCTTATATTTTTACACTGTCTCGGAGATCTGATGCTGTTTTTTCAGACCCTTATAATGATCTCTTGCAGTGTTACTGTTGCTCTTCCAGTTGGGACTTCTCGTTAAGAGTGCAGTGTGCAGTGTTCACTCAGCTCTGCTCTGTAAAATTAAGTGTTGTGTATATTTTTATATCTCTGTAAATACTAGCGTAGGAGGTGATTGCACACCCTTCATCAGGAAACCTGCGTGATAGTTACGATTTCTTTCCAGATGCATGTGATGTATAAAACTCCTAATTGAAATAAATGTTTGTGTTTTCAACTTCTTTCTAAATATATTTATGTATTGGAAATTGCTGCAGATACTAGATGCGGGGTTTAGTTCTGCTGACAGAAGTACCTGTAAACAGCAGTAGGACTGCATGTACACACTCAGCGGGCATGATGGAGGCAAGCTGCAAAACTGACTTAAAAACCACATAAACTGCATTTCTGTTCTTGTCCAAAATGGTAGTGGCTGGGTTGGGGGGCTTTGATGTTTTGTAATCCAGTCAGGACTTCCAGGTGAACTGAGTCCTGGGGGTTGTAGCCACTGAGTTCATTTCAGTGCTATTCAAACTGAGCAACAAGGTATGCTATGTTGTGTGCTTAAAAGCTGAAGCCATACTTTGCTCAGCTTCTTAAACCTGGTAAATCTGAGGTACGCTCTGCCAACGTATGAGCTGCCCTACCCTCTTACATAAAATTCCTTTGTCACGAGCTTCCACACACACGTTCTGTTCAGCTCCACATAGCTGGACTGCACTACAGTCGAGGAACGTTCTGCTGACATCAGTACTTTGGAAGCATTTTATTACTTAGAAAACCTGCTTCTTCCTCTACTGCACAGCGTGTAAAGCAAAGCAGCTGGGACGTGAAGCCAGCCAGGGATCTTCCTTCACTTGTGCAAGTTTAAGTTACAGAAGCTTGACAGAATTTTAGTGTTTTCCTTGAGACTTTATTTGATTATTCTCTTGTACCTAGGCCTGATAAGATGCATATGGGTTGAGGACTCAAAGATGTAATGGTGTCCTTGTTTACACTCTTACAGGTGGTTGGTACTCCATCTTTTGTTTCTTTTTGTAATGTGAAAAAGGTGTGCGTGCCATCCTATAACCACACAGACACTGCTCCATCAGAACTTGTGCACCGTATCACAGAAGAGCTGTAAGTTTGGATGATATTTATTTATGAAACCCTCAGACAGAGAGATTCAGCTTTTTTAAAATAAGAGGATCTTCTGTATCTTGACGTTCTTGGTTAGTCTCCATCTTGTACACAAAAGCTTCAATGATTTTAAAAAATTCGGAAGTCCGGTAAGCACCTGGTGTGCAAGTAGAATAGATGGAATGGGAAACCTCCTGGTGATTTTGAAAAAACTGGAGCCTCGTTTGCACAATTTCAAGATGGTTTGGAATTACAACACTGGAAATAGGGCTGCATCACCAAAATATACAAAGTGGCAGTTTTAGTCAGACTCGATTTTACCCTGCTATTGTCTCAGATGTTACACGCAGCACAGGTTTAAGCTCCAGAAAAACCAAAGTGTTCTAAAACCCAATTGGGCCTTCTTATCCATCAATATTTGTTTTGAATATGCATTTCTATGGGCCAGTTACAAAAGATGCTCAAATTCAATATTTAGTCATCCAAGAAAAAGTAGTTTCCACTCTTCTTTTGTTCCACATCCTTGGGAAGAGAAAAAAGGTCAGTGTTACTAAAAGTAGCCTTTGGCAGACTTGGAACATAGCTGAAATTAAAACCAGTTAGCTCAATTCCTTCCTACTTTACTTATTACTCTTAATACTCATCCCAGGTATTGTTTTCCAGCACAGCAAGACTTGCACGCTAGCCTTCATTCTGCTCCTTATTTTAAATCCCAGATTTACGTGGAACAGTCATGGCTTCATCGCTCTAAAGGTGCTTCTTACCTTGATTGAATTGAGTTTGTTTATTCTTGGTCTGTAGTTGTTAGGATCTCTTCTGAAAGTGATTTCAAGTTGGGATAAAAACTTATTCATTCCAGCCAGGAGAGTCTGAGGACTGTTAAGAGAGGTGAGTGGTAGAGATGGTGCATAATTTCCAGCTAAGCTATCAGATGTTCCATGCTTGTGCTGACAGCTATTCCAGACTACAGAAAGCTTTAATTTCCAGCCTGAGCTCAGTCAGGTCCAGTAACACAACCGAGAGCAGGTATTTGGTGTACATATGCAATAGTTTCAGTACCTCTACATGTCACTAGAAGGCTCCTTGCTGCCTTTGCATTCTTCTTACTACTATTTAGATAATTTCAGGTGAGTTGGCACATAAATTATTTAGGTATTGAAAAAAAAAGTTGCAAGAAAAAATCATAACATGATGCTGAGAAGTAGTTAGGTGCTTGGGTGGGGTGTTTTTTATAATTCAGACTAACGTGGTCATCAATAACAGGCAAGCTAGCACATATGAAGACCAGTGTGTTTACTGCAGCTAGCTCCTATTAACTACTTCCATATTACAGTGCTCTACAAGCATCATTTCCAATATGGTTATTGTTCAAAGGTTCCATGGTTTATATGAAATTATTTATTTATTGGAACAGAAGTAGAGAAATCCAAAAAGGACAGCTTTATGCTTGAACATGTGAAAACCACAGATGCTACGGTGCTGTCAAAACTTGCACTTCCCACAGTATTTACCAGGTGCCAAAACCAGCCCTAGTTCACAGCTTTCTTTTAATGCATCTGGAAGTTTATTTTTCCTTAAGCATACTCTGCTAACAGCCCTTTCTTCATCCCTCCCCACTGATGCTGCCTACTCATCCTCCTGGGACTACAGTTCAACTCCTGTGCAGTAGACTAAGGCTAGAATAAAAAAGCTAGAGCAGCTCCTGACTTAATTTCCACAGGCAAGGATACTTCACCTCTTTTTTTTTCAGTTGACAAACAATTAATTTCTATGCTGTCATCCTGAATCTTGCTTACCCAACGAACCTCTTACCTGTTCGCAACTGTGTTCTTGGAAGGAACACCATCAAAAACAATCACCCGATCAGCAAGATACGTAGCCATGATAAAGTCATGTTCTACCACAAAAGCTGTTTTTTTAGCATGGAGAATGAAACTGAAATACAAACAGAACGGAGAGAGATCTGAATTTGAACTTACTACAGAACTACTGGAAGTGTTAAGCATTTTCCCCACTGCCTTCACTTTACCGTTTCATGACTCTAGCAGCCATCAGACGTTGTTCAGAGTCCAAATATGCTGAAGGTTCATCAATTAGGTAGACGTCTGCAGGTTTACCAAGACAAAGAGCTAACGCAACGCGCTGCAGCTCACCACCGGACAACGTTTGAACCTAGTAAGGGGAGGAGGGAAAAGTGAGCCACATTGCTCCTTTAATGCTTAAAAATCACAATATTCTCTCAGGCCATCAATACCTCTTGGTCAATGATGTTTTCTATTTGAAGAGGTTTCATTACATCAGTTACAAACTGGGGATGGGTATAGGCATCTCTTATCTTCTCATGCAGTAGCTGACGAACACTTCCCTATCAAAAGAAAAGTTCTGCCATTCAGTTTTACGTGTCCTGCTACAAGAAAATAATTAAAAACAAAATGCTCTTTTAATTCTATTCTAGGCATCAACAATTTCTACTTGTATACTAACAACGTGCTTTTTGCAGCAAACACTTAATAAATCAGAGTTAAACATACTGTAGATTTAGGGCTGATCTTCTGTGGCTTGTAGCTGACGTTTAGAATTGGGACCTCACCTACAAAAAGATAAAGTTAATCATGAAAACAAGAGCCTTCCCCATATCTTAAACACAGTACTTCAGTGGAAACTAAGCAGTACCTCCTTCATCAGGTGTAAGTCTTCCTGCAAGCATTCGGATAAATGTAGTTTTGCCAGTTCCTAAAATAAGATACAGGTTACCTATATTTGAGACTTATTTATTAAGAAGGACTGCAAGTAAAATCAGTGATAGAACAAAATAAAAACTGGGTAAAGAACACATTTTAAGATGAAACTGCTGAGTATTCCTACGTTTACTTCAAACAAGCAGTTTTTGCTATTGGTTTTCAAATCAAAAAGACATTGAAAGCTACAGCAGTCTAGATGCATGGCTAAGCTTGCCAGCTCAATAATCATCCTGCCCATTTGAGTCCTTAAAATGGGATAACAAAATCACAGTATTCTTGACATTCAAGTACCTTCAAGTTCCCACTCTTTACAAAGCAAGCTCATGGCACATCTTTACTAGGAAATGAGCATTCAACTTGACTTAAAAACATTCATTTAACAGCCTGGCCCTGATTCCAGAAAGGTTTTAGGGGCAAAGGGTTCTTGGAATCATTTCTAACAAGAATTCCACTTACCATTTTCCCCTAACATCACCATGATTTCAGAATCTGTAAATTCTCCAGCTACTATGGATAGTTCAAATTCTCCCATCTTTTTTTTCATTCCTGGATATTTGTACATACACATCTTTTTAACCTCTTCTTCATTTGCTGTTTCAGCCACTTTAAATACCAGAGATGCATCTCGAAACCTCAGATTTTCAGTGGGAACGTAGCCATCTAAAAAGATGTTTATGCCTACGAAGAGAGAGAGAATTAAAAATACCTAACAGGAAAAAAAAAAAAGGAACTTCTGTACAGAATAGTAATCTTTTAGTTGCCAAAAAATTACATAACAGAAGGAATACACATTCACAGTATTTTCTTTAGAATATTCTTTCTTCCACGGGATTTTTTGTAGGTTTAAGAAATAAGAAAAGGCAAGAATTACCTTCTCTTACGCTGAAAGGCATAGTGACGACACCGTAAGCACTTGGCACACCATACAGGCAGCAGATGAAGTCAGAGAGATAATCCAACACACTTAGATCATGCTCTACAACAATAATGTACCTGAAAAAAAGCAGTCAGAGTTTTATATTTCAACCCCAAACACACTTATGTGGTGTTGCATACACACAAGCTATCAATATTTTCACATACTTAGTAGAAAATGTTCCCCAATGCTGCAGTATTAACTACAGAAACTACAGGACATCTCCAAGGTGCAAAAATCAGATAGTACTGGCTTGGAATATTTTAAACATCTATTAATGTACCGCCCTGAGAAGTTTGCACTTGGAGGCAGTTGGACTGACTTCTTTCAAAAGCTCTGTGCAGTTGACTACTATTACAGACTAGAGCAACACTTCACAGTTACACTTACCTGTCAGGGTTGATCAGGGATCTAATAGTAATGGCAGCTTTCAAGCGCTGCTTGACATCCAGGTAGCTCGAGGGCTCATCAAACATGAAGCTAACCCCAAAAGAAAGAGTAAGATTTTAGAGAAGGTAAACTTTCAACATATTCAAATCTAACACCAGCATTTCAACCATAAACACAGGAATAAAAATTTACATTACGTCTATTGGTGGAGAGTAAAAGCGAAAATTGTTTACTGACACTTTCCTTAAATCTTTGGTTAGTATAACATGAAATTGTTAAGGCTCTGAAAAAGGTATGTTACAACAAGTCACCAATCCGTTAGGAATTTCATGCACTCAGTTTTGATTCATTTTAAATGTAACAGCAAGTGCAAATCCCCCAACTGTAGGAGACTGGCAGAAAGATGTAATCTCCCCACAGATCAAATCGAAACAACAACAAAATAAAAGCCAGAAAATGCAGTCTTATGATCTTGCTTTCTTGATCCAAGGAGTCAAGAAACAGCACAGACTACATACAGCCTGTATTTCCTGGCTGCAGTACAGAGGAAGAGGGAAACAAGTTCCCAAAAGTTGGGAAGGATCTCATTTCTGTCCATTTGTTACTCAAAGATGATTGAGGTACGCTGACAAACAGCTACCTCTCTGAAACTAGATATTTCTGGTCGGACAAATTAAAAACAAAACAAAAAACATTCTACAAATGAAAGAAAAACAGATCCAAGGTCCCAAATTGGCCAAAGCGTAAAAATCAATCAATCTTCTGCTCAAATATTTCTTGCAAAACATAAACATTAAAGGACCGCACTGTAAGACAGGTTAGTAGAAGCAGTGTGTAATAGAAGTAAATTAAACATACATATCAGCCTTCTGAATGCAAACAACTGCACAAGCAAATCTCTGAAGCTCTCCTCCTGAAAGGTCCTCAACATTTCTTTCTTTCAGATGGGTTAAGTCTGCAAATAAGAGTCTAATTTTAGATATGTTACACCAAACAATTCATACGCTGATTACCTACGCAAACATGTATAATCACAGCGGACATCCTACATGGGGGAAAAAAACAGAAGTGAAGTAAGTTCATACAGAATCACCGTAACGCTATGCAGAGGAGTCACAGCAACAATAGCTGACTGGTTTGTATGGCTGCTTCCTAACAGGTATAAAGATCACGTTCCTGTTTGCTTTTCCCCCGTGTTTTAACTGAACATTTCTGTCTCTAAGAAGAAAGCAAATACCATTTTTACAACCACGTCCTGTGAGACTTCATTGAAAAGTTCTTATTTGCAGGACAATCCAGTCCTCCAAACATTGCAGTGAATGGGTAAAGGCAGTTGTTTTCTTGTCACAGACCACACTTCTGGTGGTACAACTTAGCCCACCTTCACTACCCAGGTCTACCAAAAAGAATCTTGGCTTTGCAACGCCTAAATTAACACCTCAATTTAATTAACAACTGTATTCAAAACATGTACAAAAATTATTGGGGCTGGACTATGCAGATGTTCCTATTCGTTATTCTCAGAAACCAGTATATTACTTCCATTAGAATTACTTACACACAGCTCTCTGAATAAGAATTTTTACATGCTTGCATAGTATTTTCTACATGCAATGCTTCTCACCATAGGAGATGCTAGGATTTTGATTGAGTTCTAAGTAAGCAAGAACAGCAGATGGCAACTGGAATTTTTCCACTTTTAAAATAAACATGTTCTACCATGAAAGAGAAACTGCATTTGATTCTGTTAATTAGAACGTGTCAATTAGCTTTCCTTTGATACTAACAAGTATTTCTGGCATTGGTTCAGGCAGTACGTAAAGCAAGACCTGAGCTTTCTGCCAAAGTACTTTTACATTTTAGATTAAAAAAAAAAAAAAAGATGATAGAATTTAAACCATTGAATCTGCAGCAACTTATTTCTTTTCGGGATAAATACTGATTCTGCAAACTTACTTACCAAGCTGCTGACATACAACAGTTTGTGTCTTAGTTTCATCCTTTCTATCCAGAATTGATCCCACCGTTCCCTAAAAAATAAGCAGTACAGATAACCCAACAGTGCTGTATCAAGATTAACTGCTGCAGACAGTAGAGAGTTTTTCACTTCAACAAAACCTTTAAAAAGAAGCGTACCAGGAGAAGCTCCTAATTTTCCATCAAGTAGTGACATTTCTTACCTTCGCGGCTTTAGGGATCTGGTCCACGTACTGAGGCTTAATGATAGCCTTTAGGTCATCTTCCAGGATCTTGGTGAAATAATTTTGTAATTCAGAACCTCGGAAATAAGTCAAAATTTCTTGCCAGTCAGGTGGGTCCTGTGACAAAATTAAAGCCCATTTTTATTTAAGACATTTCTGATGGTGTATTTTAGGTTACTGCCTGATTTTAAAGTGCCAACCAACACGGCAAATGGAATTTGCCTGCAAGATTGAAAAAACAAAACAAGACCTGGATAAAAGCTAGTCCCTTAATTGTTTTGTTGCCTCTACAAAGTTGTGTTAAGAACAAAACAAGCCAACTGCGAAATGGAGAAGAGTTGAGATTGATTTTCGTTTAAGGCGCACTGCCAGTAGCTCTCTCAAGAAAAGCACCTTACATTTGCACCTGGACAATTAAGATGTGTGAGTGAAACTACGTCACAGGGCCAAATGATGCTGTGGGTTACTGTAAAGGAATGTATTTGCTAGCTGATGCAGCTCATCCGAAGGAAAGGGGCTAGACTGATAAAATCAACTTGTGCAGAAGATGCAATAAAAACTGGTCATCTTCTCTGCTTACAGACAATGTTTCCAAGGAAAGAAGAGGAAAAAGGAAAAATCAAGAAAAACCCAACACCTCCAATAATAAACAAAACAAAACTATTCAGTGCAATCACCCAAGGGAAAAAACTTAACCTGAACAGTATAATTTTGCTCAGCGTTGCTACTTTCAATGATGCCAAATTAATTATTTTGATGGTTAACACAGTACAGAAACAGAGTAGCACAACTGTATTTCCAAGCCAAGCAAAAACACGCAGAGGAAATGCTTCCTAAATTTTAGAGCAGAAGCAGCATGTAAGATTCAATTCATACCACATGTTTCTGTGGTCTTAATGATTTGGCTCTTCAATGGAAAGTCTGATTTTGGAAGCATGACAATTCAATGAAGTACATTCAAAGAGTCAAAATTTTGCTATTTCTGCAATCTACCACCTGAAACAAGAAGTCCACAAAATAACATAAACCATACTTAAATAAAGATGGGAGACAACAGCTGGAAGGTTGTTACTTCTTTGTAGTTTCACGTGGCAGCCATAAAATGGATGATTAATTAAAATGATATTCTTTCACATAACGAAACAGACGAATAGAGGTTCAACAGACATCACAAGGTGATGCGAAGGTGGGAAAGTGCTAACTGAAATACTGGCTGATAAGAAGAGTCACAGTAGTGACTGCCTTTTCTATAATAATTTTTGGTCTGTTGGAGTACTGTTAGTTAAACAAAGTCTCGTAAATTATTTTCCTGGCTGGCTGCTTTTGGCAACGTGAACAAACTAAGGATTTTCAGAACACAGTATTGAAGTGTACAGTTGGAAACGTCCTCATCAACAATTAACAACAACCACATTTTTTGTAATAAGAAGTCTTTAAAAGAATCAAAGACAGAATAAAGAAAATAAAGAATACTTGGTTCTGTGATAAACATCCTTCTACTACTGTTTTTGGGTGGAGTTAGATCCTGTGGCTGCAAAGAGGTAAAGCTTCACTGTCTTTCCAAATTCTACCCCATTCCTACGCAGGAACATTTGCTGAAATTGCATAACAACAGCTATCTATAATGCCAACTCTATTTTATTGCTGATACATACATCATATTTTCCAAGATTTGGCTTCTGCTTTCCTGCTAGAATTTTCAAGGCAGTTGATTTTCCAATACCATTGGTTCCAACCAAACCCAGGACTTCACCTGGACGAGGGATAGGCAACCTGCATGCGACATCGATAACTTTGGGTTAATTGATTTAATCCCGTCACATACCAAGATTTGGAAGTGAAGTAAATGCTTCAAACCTGTTTTCAGACTCGCTGATTATTTAAACCTACACTGTCAATCTGACAATACACGATGGAGCAAAAATTAAGAACAGTCTGGTTTTTAATCAGGAACATTTGTTCTGTAAAATAAGCACTCACTGTAATTTCACTACAGTATTTTTAAGTAAGAAAAACAGTCATTAGCATCCAACAATGAAGCTACGGAGCCAATAACCATGAACAGCTGGCTGTGAACTCCTAGTTTAGACTAACAGAATCTTGAGAAGTTTTGTCTTTTACAATGATCTGCAGAATAAAATACCTGTGAAGTTTGAAGGCATTGGCACAGTATCTGTGTGTTGTTTCTTTCTCCAGGTTGCTCGGTAAGTTAACAATTGACAAGGCTCCAAAAGGACATTTCTGTAATTTAAACATACTTATGTATTATATTACTTACGCACACAAACAATTTAATAACAGAATTCTTATTTTTGGTACTGCACAACTGTGTGCTTCATTTTTTTTTTTTTTTTCCAAAAAAGAACTTTCAGAAGAAGAAGATTGGCTACATTGCACCAGTCAAACATTTTTCGCTTCTCAGTAAAATACATCAAACCATTTACAGGCTATGTCAATGATTTTTTAAACTCAGCACTTTAATGACTGGAGTTTTATATTACAGACTTTTATATTACAGTCAGGAATTGGACTCGATGATCCCTGTGAGTCCACTCCAACTTGGGATATTCTGTCAGAAAGCTACTTCACTGTTGTTTAGTCAACTTAGTCCAAAGAAAGACTATAGCACGCTTTTCAAATTAAAGCAGCAATGCAGACTGTCAGTCAGTGACAGAAGTTAAACAGCATATATGCGATAGCTCTCTTACAAAAGAGCTTGTTTGCTGTCTACTGTTATAAAAACAACCCACCAAGACACACAACAACAGGAAAAAAAGAAAAAACACCACCAAATCACAAGAAAACCACCACCAAAACCAGCCAGCCAACCAGCCAAACTCCCAACCACCCCAAAACGATGTTATAAACAAAATGATACAACCTACATCCCCAACCCCACCAGTTCAGTAACCTACCACAGTATTTCAGTTCATTTTAACAATAACAGTTGACAAGGTCTGATTACTCAGGGAAACAAAAATACTTTGTGTAGTTTCTGCATAGTAATATAGTGTAATTTTAGCATAATAACATTATCACTTTATATAAAGCAGATAAACTTTTACCTTGATGCAAATCCCACAGCCAATACAAAGTGTTTCAGAGATCCATGCTATTTTGCTCTGTGGTGCGACTTCTATGCAAAGTTTTCCTGGTGACAAAGAGTAACATTAGCTCAAGAAAGTTTCTGACGTATCCTATTTGTTGCTAGTACTATTAAATTCCACAGAACACGCAGTCAAGTACTTGGAAGAAATTCTTCACGGTGAGGGTGGTGAGGCACTGGATGAGGTTGCCCCGAGAAGCTGTGGATGACCCATCCCTGGAAGTGCTCACAGCCAGGCTGGAAGGGGCCCTGGGCAACCTAGTCGAGCCGGAGGTGTCCCCGCTCATGGCAAGGGTTGGAAGTCAATGATTTCAAAGATCCCTTCCAACCCAAGCTATTCAATGACATGATCCTACCAAGAGCCACAGCAGCTTTAAATCATTTGAAGGCCTGAAAATCGGCATTACTGCTATGAACTGCTCACGCTTTCAAAGATGAATGTTCAACTTAAATAGTCTTCATAAAACAAAGAACAAAACACCCAACACCCTGGCTCATTCTCACTGAACGTTACTTCAAACTTCCCAGAGTGCTTAAATACTTTGTTAAGATGCATCTCTTACCCATTCGAACCACAGGACAACTCTTCTTGCATTCCTGACGGCATTTCTTTGGCTTACACTTGTCATGGTTGACAATAGCAATTCTTGTTAATTTGTCTGCCATCGTGCACGGTTGATGGCTGCACGCATTCACCAATTATGAGGGCGATCTGTCTTCCAGATCTTAAAGAAAAAAAAGGAAAAAAACAGAACACAATTACTGACAGGGAAGAGAGTACATATTTCAAATTATTACTAGCAGGATTCAGAGAGGAAAAAAGCAAACTGTATTTTTTTCCTGTTAAAAACAGACAACAATCAGGGCAAATACACTCAGATACCAGTGGAAAGGATACTGATGTAATGGCTTAGGTTCTAAAATCTGCTTTTCCATTGCTCTCCAATTTCTCAACTGTAAAATAAAATTGCAAATGCATTTGCTTCCTAGAAAAGCATATAATAGCAAGAACTAAATATAATGTACTTTGTGTCAGCAGCTTGACGCCTAACTGTCAGGGAGTCCTGACATACTTCTCATTTCCACGCAACCTGCACAGTCCTTCCAAGAAAAGGAGTTCAATATTTCTTATGAAAAGAACTGTCCTCTATTGTCCAGTTTATCTTTGTCTCTCCAAACTAAAGCTTTGCAGGCTATTTGCTACATATGGCTTTTATATAACGAAAAGTCATGAGTTTCAGCCTCCTGAAGAAATCAAGAATAAAACAGCTACATGGCATATTTATTACATTTAACCCTATTCACTAAGAGCTTCCCTGTGAACCTCAGTTAGAAAGAACCCTACAGACACTATTAATAAGAAAGAAGGGAAGAGACTGGCACCTTATGCGAAGCAGAGATAAGAAATCAAGATGTTACCGAATCTTTCAGTGCTTTATTACCATGAATGTTCTCAGTGCTGCCTTTCCGAAGTCATAGCCTTACTCCTGCTTTGAATTCCCAAAGTATTTTAATGGCTAAAGATGCTCTCATCCAATACAAAGGGACGCAACCATTTAGCCACGTCCCCAACCTTCTTGTGGCCGTTGCTTATTTCAGTATCTCTATTTTTTCTTTAATATTTTAACTTCTTTTTAAGAGCCAAAAAGTAAATCTTAATGACATCACTGATGTTATTAACGACCGAATGTTTAAAAAAATAATAAGACTCACTCCATAGTCCAGTGGCTGATATATTCATTGTTGGCATGGAACAAAGGATTTGCAATTCTAACTTTAATACATTTTTCTTACACCAGAAAACAAGAAACATTAAGTTTATTACTAAAAACTCTACTGATGTTTGGCAATTTTCCAGGTAACTGACAGAATGGATTTTGCCTGTGTTTCAATGAACACAAAGATACCTTCTTCAAGAATACATTATACTGCTTTTTAATGAAAGTTCTGTAGTCTGCAAGGTGCAGAGTGCCCAAAGAAACACTCTCTACAACTTCCCAAAGGAAATGCCTCACCTGGGTGAGTCCTTCTTCCGAAAAAGCCTGTGTGGCTCAGGACTTTGAGCAGGCAGACCACACTGTCTACCTTCGGGCAGGGCTTTCCTTTCTAGTCACCTTATCTCTAACAATGCACACAGCTATTTCCACAGGTTATAAGAGCAGCAGACAAAGCACTGTAGCTCAGGAGCTTGCTTTCCCTGCCCAACCTCCCTAACCTGTGGTAGATGTTTCTGTCTGGGCAATACAGATTAGCAGGGCAGACAGACTCACTGCACTTTCCACCTTTCCAGTCTGGTGCTTAGCTTCCATTTAGCAACAGAGGAGGAAAAGGGAGTGGGTCCCTCTAAAAGACTACACCAAAATGGCTTCAAACACTTGGTTTATGCATTTACTTCAACAAGCTTTCCTCGTGATTTTTCACACAGAGGGTGGTGACGCAGTGGAACAGGTTGCACAAGGAGGTTGTGGATGCCCCATCCCTGGAGGCACTCAAGGCCAGGCTGGATGTGGCTCTGGGCAGCCTGCTCTGCTGGTTGGTGACCCTGCACACGGCAGGGGGTTTCAAACTGATGATCACTGTGGTCCTTTTCAACCCAGGCCATTCTATGATTCTACGACTCTAATCTCGGTGGGAAAATTCAACTGAAGCCTGAACAGTCAGTCATTGCTGAATCAGACCTTGGTTCTTAAGTAACACAACAGCCTTGCAATTCTTTTTCTTCTAATGCCACTATATGTGAAAATAACCACCTGCAGTGAAGAGTTTCAAATTGCCTCAAAGTCAGAGATGTAAGTGCACCAAGCATTTAAAGATTACAGGGGGTGGGAGAGAGAACTACACAGCCAGTATGGAGATGTGGGATGAGGCATTCCTGCTCCCATGACACGATGAAGCACCAGTTTATTCAAAACTCTATGGTGATATTACACCATTTTCAGAAAAGAGTATTTGTCACTTCCACAACATCTCCAGGACTGCCCTGATGTCTACAATGACTGCTACCCACAAGAGAGAAAAAAAGATAATTCTCCTCAGAACTGCTAGTTTAGAGCAGAATAAATAGGTGTCCAAAGCCAGACTGAACTGTGGTTGCACACTCACATGCTGTTCCCTCAGTAGAGTTTAGTTTAATGCATCGAACAGGACTGTCTGATTTCAAGGTGCGAAGAGTGAACTCATAAAACACAAGTCAGCAACAAATATGGGATGCGTATGGTAGAGCGCAGCACAGCATTAATTGCTAGGTACAGTCAGCAGGAGAAACTGGTATTCAGAAGCACTTAAGCTCAGATCTGTGTTTCTGCTTTCCAAATCAAGAACAGAACGGAAGACAGAGCACAAAAACATTTGTCTACCACTAACTATAGAGTGGTTATTTTGGATCAGCAAATTTTGCCAGAACTACGGACTGAAGGTGCAGGTGAAAGAATGAGGAAGAGTAACAGCTACTAACCAGAACGTTTTCAACACCTTGCCAGTATTATTTATTGAAGCCACATGCTGCAAACTAAGTCCAGTTGTATCACTTACCAGAAAAGTGTCTAAAACTGAGACACATAAAAATGTTATCACAAACATTTCAAGTCAATGTTCTTATGATTTTTGATAGATCATTATTTATTTCTTCTGTCACAGGCATTGCTCATAATAGAACTGTCACGTTAGAATGACAGAGAAGGATTTGTAATTGCTTGGAATTACGCAGAACATACAAGCACTAACAAAAGTTACAAGTGAAGACTGAAAGATAGCTAGAGTTGATTCAACTAAATGCTACAAAAGCGAGATCTGTGTTCAGAATTGAGTCATACTTCAGTTACTTTGCAAAAGAAAAACAGTTAATATTTTTAACAAATTACATTGCATCACGTGTAAACTAAACACAGTGGAAAGAAATGAGGATGAGAAGCATTCACACTTTCCTCTGCAAGTAATAAGCCTCAAGAATTCTTTCTTGATCCACTGCTAACGGATCACATTCAGTGACTCCACAAGAAGAAAAAGTTAGTTAGAATGCCCCAAGTGACTTTATATTAAACACAAAGAGTACGCATGTGCCGGATCACTACGTTTGTTAGCGTGAAAGCAGAAGCAGTGGGAAATGGCACAAGTACCACCAAGGTACACTCAGAATTACAAGCCAGCATATGCTTCGGTTTTGATGTTTTAGAAACTGAGCTGACGCTGTACAAGAGGTTTAATAAGCCCCAAACCTAATGACTGTACTTAACTCATCACACCGCTCACAAGGCACGAATATGAAAATGAACGCAACGTGAATACGAGAAGCGTCTGGTCAAACGCACTGACGCAGCACAGCGAGTGGGTGTGCTCAGCTGTGCTGAGCCGTGGTCATTATCTCTCCATCTTTCATATTTTCCTTCAACGTGAAGCAAAAGGCACAAACCCAGCAACTGCCATCGGCACACGGGAAAATTACAAAAGGTGTCGTTTTTTTTTTTTTTTTTTTTTTTTTTGAGCATGGCAGAGAGCAAGTGCTGCCGCGGCCTCGGAGAAATGCCCTCTTCGCTTTTGATTTTTACTTGCGACTTGCGAGAAGCAGCCTAACCCTTTTACCTTGTCAACATGGCAATCGAGTCATCGCTACCTTGAAGGAGTCTCGATCTCCCTGCCACGCAAGCAGGCAGCCGTACACCGGGTGAACTTCCTGACGTTAAGCCCGGCTGTCTCCCCTAGCAGCGTCAGCCCCGCCGCCCAGCCCTCCCTCCTTCCCCTGACGGCTTTTTCGGCCCGGCTCAGCCGCGGGGCTGCGCCCGGATCCGCATCGCCGTGCCGCACGGCGCGCTCCCTCAGAAAGTGGCCGCAGCGCGGGGGGGCCGAACCCGCATCGCGACCGGACTGGGGGCCGCGGTGCCACAGGAAGGGGCCGCGGTCGGGCCCGGCGCCTAAAGCCGAGCCATCGGCACGGGGAGAGGGGCCGTGCCGTTTCCCCGAGATCCGCGCGGACCCGCGGACCCACTCTCCCGTCTCTCCGCGTCCCGCTTACCGAGAAACGGGGCCCGCCTTCCGGACCGGGCTCAGCGGCCGCCGCAGCTGCCGAGCGCGGTCCGGCACAACGTGCTCCCGCCGCCACCCGGCCAAGATGGCCGCCTCCCCCGCAGGGCGGGGCCTGCGCCGCGCACCATAGAGAGGAAAGGAAGGACGGGAAAGGGGCAGGGACAGAGCGGCGCCTGCGGGAGGGAAGAGGCGGGGCGGGGCGGGGCGGGGCCGCGCCCGTTGATGGCGTCATCACCGAGTGACGCCGGCTGGAGCGGCGCCTGACGTAAGCGGAGTGCCCGCGCTCCCGGTTGTAAGGAAGCCCGGCTCCCTCAGCTCTGTCCTTGTGCGGGCCGCGCGCGCCGCTGGCCGAACGCGTCCACCTGTTTCCCGCCCCCGTATTTAAACCGCTTGGCGCGTGCGCGGCCGTTAAACGGTCGGAGTCGGCCCGCTGCTGAGGGAGACGGTCCCGTATGCCGTCTTTCGCTCCTGTCTGTTCCTGCGGTGCTGAGGTTCAGGTGCGGTTGCGGCTCCTCGGTAGGGTTTTTCCGTTTGCGGGCCGCGTGGCCGCTTGACGGGGCGTTCTTTGGGGTGTGCGGCCGTGTGTGCGGGCTGCGCGGGAGCCAGCTGCGCGTGGCTGTCGGTATTGCGGTCTCTCCTCTGAATCAGTTACGAAGTGAAGCAAACAAGAAAAACCTTGAAGCTGTCTTAACTATCTACAAAAAGAAAAACAAGGTGGGGGAGAAGAAGGGCTAATAGCAAATCCCTGGTGCAGACAAATGTGTACTACAGAGCTCAGATCTCTAGTGTCCCACAGTAGTTGTAAGCTTTGCGGTTAGTCTTATATGGCTCATGCTGGCTTTCTTGCTGACCTGCGTTAGCTCTGTAGTGACCCAGCTCTGCACTCTGTGGGCACTGAAGGAATCCAGTGTCCCATTCAGTGTCTAGCTGGGTACTGAGAGACTTTTCCTTGACTTCATTCTCCTTATGAGCAAAGGATTAGAATTTGAGTCTTCTTCCCTGACTTCTCAGTACTTCATGTTTAATCCTAGACTTCTATTGTGATCCCTTGCATGGAGGGGTTATATTTGGAATTTTTTTTTTTTAAGTATTTGTAAGGCTTCTGTGGCGTTTTGCTGGAGGTAGTCTCTGTTTGATATGGAGAATAGCATCTGGTCTTCTGTGTATGGCAGTAGTGGAGGGGTGAAAGTGAATGCGATTACTTGAGCAGTGCAACTCACAGCTCAGTGATTGCAGGTAAAAAGGGGAGATGAGGGGAATTGTCTCTGGATGTGTGTGGCAATAATGAACCTCTACTAAATTAAGGGCTACATGATTTGTTTAAACAATCCCTTCCTGTTTTGAAGAAGTATCTTTGGGAGGATGGACTTGCTCTGATTTCTGAATGTGCAGAATAAGATGTCTTCCCTTCCCCGCTTCCATTTAAGTGAAGTTGTAGTGCTAACATTTAAATCAGCAGAGCTTATTTTCATTTCTTTAAAAAAAAAACACAGCACCAGATAAATAACAGCAGCAAAAAAAAAAAAAACAAAAACCCATGCCTGAAACTAACTCAGTATGTGTGGAAAGAGTGAAGTAAATAAAATACCTCATGAGTGTTTTTGGTGCACGTCAAATTGAGGTGCATATTTTTGCATCTGTGTGGAACTGTATGTATTAGTGTGATATGTCTACAGTAGTCTTTAGAGTGTATCATTTATATAAATGTGAGGTCACAGGGTTAATGCTTTATTTGAACAAACGTCATCCTTATTTTTTTTTATCACTGTGAAAATGTGGCTAACTTTATTTTTTTAATTAGAAATGACTACCCCAAACAAGACACCGCCTGGTGCTGATCCAAAGCAGTTAGAGAGGACGGGTACTGTAAGAGAAATAGGCTCACAAGCAGTTTGGTCACTTTCTTCTTGTAAACCAGGTAAAAATCACAAAAATTGATGTAAGGATTAAATATAAATTTTGCTATTTAGTTAAACATTGTATGTTTTCATGAAAAATTGCCACTTATAAAACCGGATCTGATGTATGTGGAAGTGTCACTGTAAGTAGTTTTGGCCTAGTTCATACTTAAGGCATTTGGAAGTTATAGCTGTATCCTCTACAAATCTGAAAATCCATGTTCTTTTCACTCAGAGTGATTAAGTTGCTATTCCAGGAATATCTGTTGGGAACTGATCTATTATTTTCCTGCAGCCTGGAGTCAATGGTTACGTTGTCTTAATGTTGTGCTCAGGCTGGAACCTGTTGGTCTGGTATCCTTGAAGAAAAATACTTTATTACTCAGTTACTTCACTAGAATAAAGGGATTTTTTTATTGTAGGTAGAACTTAGACTGCTAACTGAAAACTTGTGTGAGCAATTGTTAAAATGACGTGATGAGTAGAAGGATAATGAAAGAAGGGGAACAATGTGTTTTTTTTTTTTATTTAAATGTTACAGCATTAGCTTACAAAAATATCTCAAGAAGCAACTTGTAAAGAAAATACTACTTCTGCTAAAATTTTCTAGTAATGGAATGGTGTCTTAGTGATTTTCATTTAGTTCAGTGGTTTGGTTATAGAATATGTAGACACATGGAAGTGTTAAGCATTTTTCTTGCATTTGTTATGAATTAGTTCCTTCCATTTGGAATTGGACAACATGTTGAATGATTAAAAATCCTGCAGACCTCAATAGGAGATAACGTGAGGGCACTCTAGTACTGAGCTTTTGTTGGCAGGCTCTTGTAGTTGTGTCATGAGTACAGATTGAGTATTTGGAAATAATTCCTTAAGGCTGAGAATACATCTGTCAATTTGTAAAAGAAATAAAAAAAAAAAAAAAAACTGTGATGTAGGCATCACAAATTACAATAATGTTCAAGACTGTCATGTTCTCTTCGTCTTAGGATTTGGGGTGGATCAGTTACGAGATGATAATCTGGAAACATACTGGCAGTCGGATGGATCGCAGCCTCATTTGGTGAACATCCAATTTAGGTAATAAAAATGTCTCCTTATGACTTAGATCATTTTGTGTAACTTCGTGTTGATGTCTATTCGCCAGGACTGGAGTTGTGGAAGTGCAGGGGCTCCTGAAGTAATCCTGTATGACCTAACGGGCAAAGGGCCAGTTAAAAAGCACTTACAAAGATGAGTATTTGAAATGATGTTACGGCTGTTAAATTCCTAAATGAGCAACAAAAGGGAATTGTTAGGAGTAGGCCATTTGTAGCAATTTCACATTTACCTATGTGAGGTCACATTAGAGTCTTAATTTTTCCTGTCATTGAGTGTAATTCAAAGGGTAGTTGTCTGCTTTTAAAGCAGTCCTGCATTTACCGATGACCTGAAAAACCTTTTATTTTTCTGTTTTGCTGTGATTGAGAAGATTGGCTTTAGGATGTTTTCAGTCTTCTAACCAAACTCTTAAGATGCACAGTCGCATTTTGTTATAGTAGTAGAGCCCGTGTTTGGTAAACCAACCATATGTTTCATCACATAGAAGCACTCATTTGGCATCTTGCCTTTTTGTTGCAATTTTTTGTATTGTGAGCTTTATGAAGACAGACAACAGACACTGGTGCGGTTCTAATGTGTGCGCTGCTCCGTGTGCTAACACCTTTTGCTTTACAGTAAGGTTCTTATTTATCAGTAGACCCTCATACTGTGTTATAGCATCGGACTCTTCATGAATGTCTTTCTTTGGGATGCTTACACACTCCTGCTGTTTCTTGCAGACGAAAAACAACAGTGAAGACATTATGTATCTACGCAGACTACAAGTCTGATGAAAGCTACACTCCAAGCAAAATCTCTGTCAGAGTGGGAAATAATTTTCATAATCTCCAGGAAATCCGGGTAGGTCAATAATATTTTGTCCTTCACCTTGAAATAGCCCCCTTTTCTTAGTGCATTTGATGTGACAAAAATGTTGTTTGTGGTGATGTGTCATTGTTCTTGGAGTGGTGAAGTGTCTGGATTTGTTTCAGTGTTTGCTTTTATTTATTTTTTTTTTTAAGTTCTTTGGGTTGCTCTTTCAGATTTTGATTACCAGCATGGTTGTAACAGGTTTGCTATTTGGATCCTGTAATGGATGATAGAATGGGGTCTTCAGAACAGAACTGTTTAGAATTGGTAGATATGAAGCATCTGAAAGCCCTATGCATGATATACACAAAAAAGAAGAGTTAAAAAAAAAAAAAGCAAGCATTTCCAAGTTTAGGCTTTAGAAGGAGGGAAGAGGAGAAAGAAAACAGTCATAATGTAAATGATTTTTGTGAAAGGATTACTGGACTATCGAGTCTTGTCTGGGGTCAGAATTTAAACCTATGGACTTCTGTTATGGCTCTGTATGTCACAAGTGTTGTGTGTATGGCATGTGATGATTATAGTGGGCAGTCATTCAGCACTCAGACGGATACATTATTTTAGGCTGGGCGCTTTGAAGAACAGTGTGACTTCCACTTCCATAGCTGTGATATTTGGTGCTTGTCATTTTCAATAGGACATATTAGAAGAATGCAGCAATTGAACCAGTGTTGTTTATGATGGCACCTTTAGCCAGCGTGAAGTTTCTTTGGAAGAAGCACTGTGGTGGGATTTGAGATGCTTGAACTACTTAGTTTTGTTTATGTACTGGCTTTTGGTAAACAGCAAAAGTAGCTGTTACTGTTGTAGTAGTTTGCCAGGTAAACTAATTGAGTTACTTGTGAGTTGGTACATTGGAAAATTATTCATTATGGTAACCTCATTTTCCAGCTTCCTCATCTTTGGTCCTCAGCTGCTATTGGGTTGCCTGTTGGGAAGGTTTATCTGAAGTCCCCTACGTGCCAGATCTCACAATAAGAGAAGGATGAGCAATGACTGCAAAAGAAATGTTTTTATAGTGTTCTGAAGTTGCACTTTGATGCTTTTTATTGTTTCCCTTTCGTTTTTCTATCTTCTCAGTTCTACTCAAACTGTTCTTGTTTGAATGTTGTAGATATGGAGGAGGGGGTAGGAAGCTTAGTAAACGTGTGTGCTTGTGCTATGCTATGTTCCACTCTGGAATTTTTTTTAACTCAGATTAGTTGTCCAAAACTTTGAAAGAACAGCACAACACTTACGCTAGGTCTTAAATGGAAGAAACTTGAACTCTTTTGAAATATTCTGCTAAGAAATGCATCAGCACACCAGAAGCTTTCATCATGTTCTGTCTTTTCCTCTTCGTTACAGCTTAGCAATTTGTTTCACCTCGTCGAACTCTAAAACCAGGTTTCTTTTCCTTGCTAGTCTTTAAGTCTGTTTTGTGAGTGTCCACTAGATGTCATTGTTGTCCCTATTGATCAGTTTCTGATTTTGCGTATGTAGTCAACTTTTCCAATAATTTAAATGGTTGCTCTTTTATAATATTTACTGTAGCATTCTGCATATATCTTAAGAACGTTAGTTTCTGACACAGTGGTGAGCTTCCACTATTGAGGGTATATGCGTTAAAGGTCTGTATAAACAATAAGATGGATTTCCAGAAGAACTTTGAGCTTGTGCTGTTGGTTATAAGCATGTTTATGTTCTTGGTTTCTGAGGAGATACTCAGTTTTTTTCCTTCTTAAACACAAAATGACATAGATAGTGTATTTAATTTAAAAAAGAAGGCACTTGCCTGTGAAATGTACGTAGTAACATTTATACTAAATTAATGAGACTGTGATATGTTGCAGGAGAGCAGCAATTCTTATGCGTAACACATGTTTGTGTATTTAATCTTCAAAACTGAAGAAAATGTGGGCAAGCTGCTTACTAATGAGCTGCAGTACTTTGCTGTAAAATGCCCATTTTCAATTCTCTGGGCATTCTGATGTTAAATGTTGCTATTGGTGTTCATGTTTACTGATCTGCATGGTATTCAAAATGTATTTTAAGTTTTCTCTTCAATCCTGAAACAACTTAATTTCTTCAGCCTCCCTGACACACAGGTTATTAAAGCAATGTAAACAGATGAACTCTTGAGAGAAATCTACTTAATTACACAATGATTATGCTATTGGCTTCAGGACTGATGAACCAGGTTGTGGATTCAAATAATTTTTACATTTTTCAGTGGATTCTTGCCCAGCTCAATGTCTCATGAAAGTCCTGTGATGCTTCCGTGCTATTTTTTTCCCCAATGGTCTTGTTTTTGATAGAGTACAATGTCCAAGTTTAATCCATAGGATACCATGTGCTTTAGATTGTTGTCTAGGCTTGTAAAAATGTCTTAATTTGGAATTCAAAATGAAATTATTTTTTCGATCTCTAGAAACAAGTTATTTGTCCCTCATCCCGTGGGTGAGAACAGCTCTTGCAATCTGACAGTATTTGACTTCTTGCTCAGCTGGAGGAGCTACAGTTAAGAGGTGTGCAGCAAGACGTCTCTCATGTCTGTTTAGAGAGCAAATGTTGTCTCACTTCCCGCCTCAGACTTCTCCAACATAATGGTACAGATTATTTCATATGGACACGGTAGTTTCTAGAGGCCTGTTTTAAACAGCGTCTAGACTGAAGCATATGAGAACTTATTACTCTTTGTCACAGCATGGTAATAACTTGCTGTAAAGGAAGGGAGCAGGAAGTTTGTTGCTGAAGACCACTAGTCTTCTTATCATACTTCTCTTGCTAATTGCCTTTGTATGTCTTTCAAAGCATTGAGATGATCAGAAGTATGTCTTATCATAAAAAGGTTGTTTCACATTTGGGCAGATGCTAGCGTTTCGTATCCAAATTTATGCTTCTTTTAGAGGTAGAACTCCTACGAAGGAGGCCAAGTTGTCTATTCTGCTGTGCCTTATAGAGGACTCAGCAGTCCAATATAGTGTTCATGTCTTGTCAGTAACTAGAGATGAAACAGGAAATCATTTGCCTATTCAGATTCCATTAGGAATTCTCTTCCAGCATATCTGTTGGACTTAGCACAATTTCTTATTTGAAGGATGTGTTCTTCATTTACTTGTTCCTGTAGTTCAGGGAAAGGAAAACAATTTGTGCTGGGACGAAAACATTGCCAGTGTATGGCATTGCTCTGTATGCTCTGCTTTTAAATGGGCGTGCTTTTACAACTGTGTCAAGGTAGTAATAATTCACATACTAGGCAGGATGTATTGATGTTCAGGTTTGAAAGGGAATAACCAGAAATACTTGACTGGAGAAAAGCTGCAGACAGTGGATGTTCTTGATGCACTAGGGCTGGTCTGCACATGGGTAACATTGTGGCTTTCAGAAACCTCAGTAAGCCAAGTGTTTGCTATTTGCCTGCTTTGCAAACTGTTAATGTTGAAGCAGGGTAACTAGTGTGGTTAACAACCCTTGTAGATACAGCGGTCCATTGCTGATCAGTCATAGATGGGGTGGGAAGATGTTTTGTTGCTGGCAGTCCTACCTGGCAGAACTTGCACCAAAGAATAATAACAAGCATTAGAATTTGCTGTGAAGAGGTCTGCCTGGACTCAATTGTATGTTTGTTTTTCTTGGAACAGAGTCAGCCATAATGGTTTTTATCAGGACTCAGTTATGGAGATGGTTTTGAAGACTCAGATGAAATTCCTGTTACCTGGCTATCTTTGCTGGCAAGTGTGGGCCTTCTGCTTTTTGCTAGGCAGCGTGGCTGCTACTTGCTGAGTATCTTGTTGTCAGATTTTCTCACCCTTCTGGTTTTGATTCATGCTTTGTAGCCTCTTGCTCCAGACCCATAGCAGGCACAGCCGTCCTGTTGTGCAGTGGCATTTAGGCTGAGCACCACGGACAGGGACACTTCTGTGCTGAGTGAAGAGACTGTGTTACAGCCAAGAGCTGTCGCTCAGGAGAAATGCCCAAACTGAGGGAGTTGTCTTAAAAACAGGGAAATTTAGGCTCTACTGTAATATAGAGCGTCCACTGCCTGTACTGGGGAGGGTAGATTTCTGAAACGTATTAGCTGCTGATCTGTTTTCTGTATGTGAGGTGATTGTAGATTCTGACAATCAAGGAGAGGTGAACTTAATGCAGTATTGTTGCAAGCTAATGGATTAAGTAAGTTTACTATTTTTGAGTGTCTGAGATGTTTAGGATGCATTTTAAATGACTTTCCTCTGAAGATCTGAGCTGATAATTGATTTAGCCTCCTGACTAAGCTTAAAGTATTTCAGCTAGAAACCCTTCTTTCATGTTCTTAAGTGTAAGAAAAGATGCAGTTCTAATCCCCACTTATTTCTTGAGTTCAGAATTATCACTTAAAATATTTGATTAGCATTCTACAAAATAAACCTGATGCTAAGAGAGGATGAAGTCGAGTTTGATAGCATTTAGAATGTGGTCTGTCTTTTCTATCTCTAGGATGTTCTGTAGGTGAGATCATCAAACCAGCTTCTTCATTTTTATCTAGCTGTTTTGCTAATTGAGTATGGATTTGCTTCACCAGCATGCATAAATCATCTGGTAATTGTATATAAAATTTATCGGTACTGGAAATTTACAAAGCAGGGGAGAAAAATGATCCACTGGTATTTTTTGTTTTATTTTTTTAAATCTTGTGATGGATGCCAAGGGGAAGGGTCAAATTCAGGAAACAAAATGGTTTATAATTCATGCAACTACTGCATGCTGTTCCTGCATTTCAACGGAGAGGATGTTTTGCCAGTCTGGGATATTGACAGGAAATGTTGTTTAGTTAAGAAAGGCAGGTGAATAACACCACTGTTCCCTGCACGTATCTATGGATATATGACCTGCTCATCACTGTTGTGCTTCGGGACGCCAACCAGCGTATGTGTCAAACTTTGGAAATTAGGCAAAGAATTGGAGTTGTTTTGCTTTGGATGTCCTGAAAGAGTAGTAAATTGGGAAAGCTTCCCATGGAATCATGAGAA